AGTAAACAAACCTACTTAGATATTGTAACATCAATTTCATAGAATCATAATTAAACCAATCAATTCCTGTTTACTTTTGAATCACAGGACTCACAGGCCTTGAGCAGCAGGACCCAGAATTTCTCACTGATTAATTCCTTTGTTTAAAATAAATTCATTTTGAATAATCATGTTAATCAGTCATAAGGATAATACATTCACATAAGATTTAATTTTGCCAAGTAACAAAGTCTGAGACTACTTCAAAGACTTCAACCAAACAAATTCATTCAACTCTGTAACATTTTGTAACAAAGACTGGCATTTAAATACAAGTCATAAATCAAATATCAACTAAAAACTTCTACAATCATCAAAAACTTCTTTGATGAACATTGATCAATTGATAAAAAAGACACATTATATGAGCTATAAATCATTGTCATAATGCAAAAATCAATGTCCCCTTACAGACTGTTATAATCAAGTTGTAATTATTTCCCTTCAAATTTCAAAACTATAACCCTTAATACAGCTTTTTCTGAAAATATTTTAGTAGCCCTTAATTTCGAAGTTTTAGTTTCAGAATGGATAGCTCATGCCAATATTATGAGTTCAAGTTTTTATCCTAAGACAATTTAATGTAGGCTGTCATGTTCTGAGAAATCTTCACAATGTCAAGCTATAACTTAACATCAATAGGCACTTTTCTTGTATCACAGTTGTTTGTAAATACAGTCATTTTGTATTTGTACATTAGTGGTTACAGCCTCTCAGAGGCCTTGACATAAGAAATAATTTGGAAGTTTATACAATTTAAGGCTATAATTGGCTGTATTCAATCTTGTACAATCTGATCACATTATCTACAAACTTTCATGGTAAGGTGGATATTGCAGTCAAGGTATAAGACGCAGTTCGTAAAGCTTGACATTGTGATGATGGGAATGGGCCTAACTTTATAATATCAATACTGTAAAAAATTGACACTAAGCTAGATAAACCTCATTAATAAACTGTCAAACAAAACAACAATATCATCATCATCATTATATTGACTGGGGATCACCAATATTACATGACTGAGTATTCTTATTACCACATTACACAATAAAATCCTGTAGTCTATATTGTCTATACATCATACAAATAAAACATGTTCTGAAATAAAACAAAGTTGATGCTCCAACTAGGAAAAGTTTCACAAAATTCACTTTTCATCATTCTGCTATTTCCAGGGACATTCGAAACCACGATCTTGAGAACCAGAGACTAAAAAAACAGATTTTCGAACCGAAAAAGCAAAGAAATGTCGTTCTGTGTTTTGTTGTTAGTGACGAGGTCATAAATTGTGTATTTGAGAATATATATTTTCTGAAGAATCTAATTTCCAAGAGCGCTGTATCGAATACAGCTTCATGGAATTATTTTATGACCATGCAAACACATATTACGTTGGAAAAAGAAAAAGTTTATATCAGATCCCATGCATTTATCTTCCACTTGACATATTAATATGTTCTCTTTTCATTGTTTATAACAAAAATTAAAAATGCTGAAGGCAATTTTTTTACATTTGAACATGACACAATTTCTAAAATACGCGAAGAATCCGTGCTATAAGTCATTAAAGAGAGTTAATCATATTTATGAGAATCGGGCCTATGTATCACGATTATTTTTTTCTTCCGCAATGCATCGATAAGGAACGAATCGCGGTTCATCGATTCAACGGTGAATTGTTGCAGCCCTATTAAATAGTGTTCATATTGAATACTTCATTAAAATCAAAATCAACTCTCAGTCTGCTTTATATTGGCTCAAGATTCAAATAATAAATAATTTCTATGACAAATTTTTAAACAAGAAAAAGTTTTTCAAACATATAGATTGACAACAGCTTAATATCGACAGGGTTTACACTTTAGTAGTATATTTACAGCTTATATTATAATGATATTAATTGATGATATATCTACATTTTGATCCTGTCTATCATCTTTCTCAAGAATCAGAAAGTGTTTAAGTAATCAAAGGATATAAATCATAAGTGATAACTTCCTTTTTATGTCTTTTAATTTACTTCATTTCATCCTTTTAAATGCAAAAACAAAGAAAACTTTCTAAATTCAAATTTGAAAATTGGTAATTTTTTTGTAACGTGGATTGTTTGGAATGAGAGCAGTAAAACAGCCATATCAACAAGCCGAAATTATTACCGGTACATATTTATATTTCTGTTTATTATCATTATGTAACATGATTCCATTTCTTCTCAATAAACATATTTTCTATAACACAAAAATAATAGCACCATAAGACAAAGAAAAGTCTGGTATTTTTTCTATGAGCGTTACATCATCAATGTAACAGATGTGTTATTACTTTACTCAATTAATCTTTCATTCATTCCAGGTTATAAACAATATTTATATTTTCTAAATCTTATCTTTATCTAACTATCTTCAACTTAAAGACATGGCCATATTTCATAGAATTTTTCAACATCTTTAACTTATAAGAGTCATGGCTATATTTCATTTTATGCTCCCCATCTTCAACTTAAAAAACATGGCCATATTTCATTGTATTTTCTCCTATCTTAGTAACTAACTTGACCTATGCTGCATAGAAACTGGATTCCTACTCAAATCAAGCACCAACTGGACCTCTACAAATTACAGCTATTGTGGCCTATTCTAAAGGTTTCGCTAGTGCTTATGGTCAGATTTTTTTTAAGAAAACTCGAGAAATTAAGATACCAGCAGATAGCAATAGTACAGATCCTAGTAAATCACAATTACAATATATTAAATGTCTAACTGTTAGTCCATCTGAAGAGACATTGGTAGCCTCCACAGACCTGAGTCAGTTATATTATGGTACACACACACTGCACATTTCACCTGAACCTCAAATTACTCATAACTCACCTGGTTTGGTGATACATAAATTTGTAATTCTAATCTTTGAGAATATGACATTTAAACACTTGACAATAGTGTATGGTCATCTAGATAATCATCTTATAAGGGCCCACTGATATAAACCATGGGAATACAAACAACTGAATAATTCTTCTGAAATTGAAGAAAACTCCATGAATATAATTTGTACCACTTGGCCTTGCACCATTGCAAACATTTAGAGTATCGACAACTTAATTTTAACTTAAAACTATTTCCATAATTACAGTTTCCATAATCAATTCATGCACCATATTGTCAATACCTACAATGACAAATAGCCTTGGGCCTGAAGCTTATCAATTTTTACACAAAGGTTTGACAAGCTTTGATAGAAAATCAACTTTTTAAGTCATGAAACTTTAACAAATTCAAAACCAAATTCGCACCCATAGTACCAGTATACTATGATTCAGATACACTAGAAACTTTACCTTCAGTTAATTCATAATCAAATATCTAACATTAGACTAAATATTACACTCTCTCAATAAATCCTAAATTTAAATCTAATCCTCCTACACACAAACATTAAACTTAGCTTCTAAACTTAATTTTCTTTTCACCTTGATTTTAAAACTTTACATTCACATAACTACATGAATCCATTTATTATAACTTGAGGCACTGTTCTAAATCCAGTGGATTTCACAAGATAACAGTAATAGAATTTTCCATACACACAATCCTAAAAGCATGGCACATGCATGTAAACTCGCTTAAAGTTTAGATAGGTTACATAAGGTATTCCTGTTATTGAATGCAGTACCGGTACTCTCTTCCTGTAAGTCTACAAGACTACCAGAGTTACAAGTAATTCATAGCAAAACCATGTCTTAAATCATCTCATTGTAACCTGATACTTTTCTGTCTGCCTTAATTCAAATCTCCAAGCAGAAGTCAAAAATTTCACTCAAGGTGCCAGATGTTTTATCTTGAAATTTGAAACAAAGATGATATTTTTAAGGTCTTAACAATCAAAACTAAATGAAGACTCTATTAACCAGACTTGCAGGAATTTGTCTTTTAATCATCAACAAAGAGGTTGAGTCTTGATAACCTTGACTATCGATTACCTTAAATCCAGGTCGACCAGTTGTCAAAATAATAAAGTAATGTATCTGTAGTAGGTACAGGTGCAGACAACTAATCAAGCCATGTAAAAGAAAAAGATGAAAAGGGGATATAGAGCACGCCTGACATGTTCTACTAGTTTTTATTTAGTACTGACATAGTATTTTCTCTAATATATTTATTAGTTAAATTTATAGAGTTAATCAAATAAATATTATTTGGTATAAGCTTATATGATGGTAATTTAGATGAACAGTAAAATGGATACTAAAAGCCAATTTTTTCCAACCCTACAGGTTTACAGTTGTAAATCAACTCATTAAAAACTAAAAAAAAATCACAAAAGGCCATCGCTGTTAGTAACATCATCAAACACTGATTGAAAATTGAAATAGTGCAAATTGATGCTATTAGTGTCCTCAATGCACATAAAATTGTAGAAACATCTTTGCAATCCCTTTAAAGTGGCACCTACATAAAATATAACAACCTGCAGTATTTTGTTTTGTTGTGGTTGAACTGGATCGAAATTCAATAATTACTTAACAAATCTGCAGATTATTACAGTACATCAATTCAATCACAGTACACCAACATTTTGTGTGGCCTTCTTCCATCTCTACCTTAATGGACTGATTTAATCATCTGATGCCATTCAGCAATTCTCTGCCGTTTCCGTAAGCTGAAGCTGACTCGGTAATGAATGTTGAATTACGGTGTGTCTTCGTGGGCAAGACTCGTTACATTCGGTTTTTAGAGAAGTGATTTGTCTAGCGGTAGTAATATTGCAACCTAAATATAGTCTTTAAATTTAGAGACTTTGGGCGATAATTCTGACACTTAAATATAATGCTAAATTTTGACTAATGGTTATCCAATGATAGATTTTATTATCAGTTTGAATACATATCTTACAGATGTTTTGTTTTCAATGACTTTGTTTACAAACAATTGAAGTCATGAACGACCGGCCTCTCATATTTAAATTATATTGACATAGTTCCTGTAAAAAAAGGGTTTGATTTCATGCTTCACCCGCACATGAAAAACAAGATCACAAGATTTTTAAACCATGACCAAGATATAAAGAGTACAGTTTTGTTCTTGAAGCCTTTTTCAAAACACAATTCTATTGCTACATAAAAATAACAATGTCAGGTAGGTATATTGTAAAACTGTAGGGGGGAAAACAACTAATATTACAAGTAAGCTTATAGTACTTACTAAAAGATATAATTCTATTTTTAAGATTTTTGAAACAAAATGTTGTAAAATACATCTGTTGCATGATTGTTATAAGAACTTTTTCCAACCCAAAAATTTACTATCTAATTTCTAGAGGAATATATTCATCTAAGAATATTTGGTTATCATCTGGTAGAGCTCAATCTCACCTGCCAGTATCACTGGGTTTCTGACCAATTTTAATTTTTATAATTTTTAACTGGATATTTCAGCTTTAAGCTTTTTAGATAGGTTTCTTTTGGAACCATTTTCTTTACATAATGTATGTATCTTACCTTGTATTGAGGTCAGTATTTTCTACTATCATTACAGCATCAGCCTCTCTAGTAGCTTCTTCATATGATGGTGGTTGTTGACCTTTATAAGCTGGTGGGTCATTATTGGGTGGCCATGTAGTTTCACCATTAGACATTTCATAATCCATTGATTCACTAGTTGACACTTCTGGTTCTACCTTCTTCTTTTCTTCTCGTAATCCTGGTTTAGGAGCTGGAGGGGGAGGGGCTAACGGTCGGGAAACAGAACTATTGTATGGTGGAGGTTTAGAGGGAGGTGGTGGGGCAGTGCGTTTGGGGACAGGGATTGGTTTTGTTAAAGAAGGTGTTTTCACAGATACAATACTATCATCTATTTCTATGTCAGAGTCTTTAGTTAAAGATCCATTGTTCATTTTGCTTTGAATAGGAGCAGCTTGTGAAGGTTTCATTCTGTTTACTACGTCCGAGGTATTCACATTGTCAGCTGAATGTTCTTCTGTCGATGTCTTGTGTCCATGAAAGTCTCGTGGATCCCAAGAGCGGCGTTTATTAGAGGAAGATATCTCATTTTGTGCTTCATGAGGATTCCATGATCGTCTCTTATTAGGAGAGTCAGTGGTACTAGATTTAGGGGCACCTAAGTGAGCCAAATACGCATCTGCTTTAGCCATAGCAGCCTGAATATCATCACGACTTAGTCTACGGTTTGGTTCAACATCTGATCTGGTACTACCAGTGCGTAATTTAACACAGGAAGTTTCCCTTTGATCTGAGTCTTTGGAATGTGATGAAGTGGAATCAAGACTTAATCGAGATCTGTGTCCCAGTCGGTTTGATGCCTCGTTTTGATTTTGATTTAAATTTGATCGTAAATTTAATTTACCAACACGATCCAATGGGGAAACATTTGAGCCAGTTTTTGATCCATCTGATGGTTCTGAAGAATTGTTATTGTTCTTACTAAGACTGGTGAATACCTTTCCAGTCCTATCTCTACTTCCCTCTTCTACTTGTTCATTTTGCAACTTTTTTCGTAAGTATGTTTTTGTAATTGTCCCTTCTTCCACGGCTGAATCTGAGGTCACTGAACGAGGACTGTTATGAGAGCTTGCTTCTGAAGAGCTAGATATTTTTCGTGTAACCTCAGAATTGTTGAGCGATTCTGTTGTTTCACTGTTTGAATCACTAGTGTTACGAGAACGATTTGAATAATCTCTTGAACCACGATTTCTTGATTGATCACTATTTGAGCGTTCTCTTGGAGAGATAGATGGTGCTGCTAAACTATTTGAACTTATGTCCCTACGAGACAAACGTGATGATGTGGAAAAGTCTAATGTAGAAAATGATTTGGGTTCGGGACTGGTAGGTCCACTAGATAACGGAGACAGCACAGGTGAACGTGGCAGAACACGACTGGGTGAAGATTTTCGATATCCTGTTTTGGGTTTTGATTGACCATCTGTTTGGGTGTTTTCAGCTTCCATTCGAGCAAATAAAGCCCTAGTGTAATTAAATCGTTGAACATGATTTGTGGCTTCTAATAGAGTTGGATCTGGTTGCTCAGGAGTAACATTGTCTAACTTAGGTTCTGAAACAGTTCTACGTCTTTCAGGTGAATTACTCATTTTCTGCTTCTTAGATACTGGAGAACGATCAACATCCACGGAAGGTGGTGGTGTTAAGATGGATTTACTTTGACCAGTACCAGATCCACCTGCTTGAAACATTTCCTTTATTTTACTCACATTAGATCCAAAATTAAGTGACTTTTGTCCACCCTCCACTGCCTTGTCAATAACTTTCGTCTTTGTAAGCACTGGCGGAGGTTGATTTTCATTATTTTCTAATTCAGGTGCTCCACTTCGGTATTTACTACTATGTAAAATATTTCTCTTATCCATATTGAGTATTGAATGTTTTTCAGTGATGTCAGGAGATTGTTCTAGTTGAGTATCAAGTGACTTGTGACAATTTTTTGAAAGAGTTGTTTTGATTGGTTACAGTGAGAAGATGATCTGGTAGTAGACACTCAAATTGTCCAATCATTTTTCTTCCCCTGTTTACTTTGTTTTTAGATCTGAAAAAAAAAAACATAGAATAATTTAATGTAATTTAATTTAACAATCTGCATGAATACGAAAATGTTTGTGTTTGCATGTACTGACAATAAAATTAGAATTGGATAAATTGAACATTGAGGTCTATAAGATACCATTTCAGAAGACAATTCAGAAACACCATTCATGATATAAATAATACCAGTGTAAGGTAAAGTCAGTTAACTCAGTCTCTTTAACTCAACTTATCAGTCAACAATAGTAACCTAATCTTAACAGAAATAGAAACCTTGTATACTAAATGAATCAGGTAGTTGTACACAGATCAAATTTCATGTTTAGTTTCCTTTAACACTTAGAGGGTCTTTTTTATAAATACAACTTAATCAACTTATTATCAGGGCCATTATCAATTAAGAAAAGACAAACATATTTGAATATAAATGCTGTAAAGTATCTTTGGTTCCACCAAAAATCAAATACCGGAACCGTAATGTTTTGCTCTTGAAGATTTTAATATCAGTTATATTATGTCCATAATATTTATACTGAAATAGATAAGGTCTGAAGAACAGATCAAACTTCTGTCACAAGTTTATGCCTGATAATAAGATCCAATAACTAATTTTCATCATGATAGTACACGTAAGCTTACAAGATTGATTGACTTCTGAGTTCTATCATTAGTTAAAATTTACTGATTGTAAGCTTACTTCTTGAAGAATCTATTTTGCTTTAAGCTCTGTGGAAATTGTACATGGGAGCAATTTTTAAGTCAATATGTTGTTTAGTTAAAGTGAAAGAAATAATATTCGAAAAGAATTTCAAGTACCGGTATTCTATTGTAGAAAAATAACGATGACCAGTTTAAGGACTTATGTCTGTTTTTTATCTTATGGAAAAGGATAAAATAATATAAGCTTAGACAATTAATCCTTCAATCATATTTCAAGCTTTTATCATTGAAGTCATAAAAATGAACTTTGCCATCAAGGCTCAATCATTGTTTAAGATATTCTCTGATGTGTCATATGTACTTAAATATACCATGAAGCCTTTATGTTACTACAAGCAGGAACTCTGACAAGTAAAATAAAATAGTCAAATAAATAATAATTCAATAAACTAATTCCTTTTTCTTGCTTAAATCTTTTCTCCATTAATAGGTAAGAGTTCAAAGTTTGTAGAAAAAGCGTGGCCTAAAAATATAAAAAGTCAGTACCTGTAATAATTGTCAATTGCCAAGAAAAAAGGCCAGAGGTTGTAGACTAACACCTAAATCAATGATATGATTTTACTGTGTCAACAAAACTTGATTACAAGATAAATAAATACTGGACCCTTGTCTTATCTTCATATTGTTAACAGAAGACAATATTGTCAAATTAATAAAGGTCAAATAAAAATTGTCATCAAACTCTCTGGAGCTCATCTGTTTTTTTTTTCTTCTTTGAAAATATCACCAAGTAGGATTAAATCATTCAGAATAAGACTATTTCTGTTAATTGATGATAAGGAAACGAAATGACTATTTGATCTAGTCATTTTGTCTGATTTCTGTTATTATTATTTATACAAGACTTTTATATTCTAAAATAACTTAAGCTGATATTTCTCTGGGACAGCATACTCAAATTTTTCCATAAATTCATAAATTCTGTTGTCACTGATACTGGTTATAGTGGTCAATCATGTTTGAGAAATCTTATTTCTAAAACACAAGTTATTTTATACAGTTCATACTAATAAATTGAGCTTATTCATACCTTGGAGTAGGCCTAATGACTATTGCTATTGCCTAGCAGTAGTACAATGAAATACAGGCTGCACTGTCAGTGGTCACCAGAATAAAAAAATATGGTCCGAAACTAACTAAAACTTATGTCCTAAAGCAAAGTCAATGATCAGTTGACAATAAATATGATGAATAGCCTTCAATTAAAGGTCACCCAACCCTATCCTATGGCCTATTCAGTCCAGATGATCATGCAGGGGCTAACCTTATTTTACTAGTCCTATAGTATATTTATAAATATATACAAGTCTCATTTCAAGCAAAGTATTTTGGCGTTAATCAAAACAAATCTTGTAAGAAAACGTATTCTATGAATAGTGCCATTCATTTATAACTGACAACTGAAGTGTCAAACAAAATCAAAAACTGTCACTGACAGTGTCAATGTCGCCAATGTCTCTTCTCTGTCATTCATCCCTATAGTTCAGACATAGTATTGCTGCTCAGGTATCAAATCTTTCAATCACTGAGAAATGAATTATTCACTAATAGAAATATAAAGTGAGAATTGAACAATGTATGAGAGATAAGAAGTTACAGGTGACAAACCGGACACTTACCTTTCTTAAACATGACTGTTCCGCCATTTTTATTTGACCCTTAAACGGTGTCGAATATATTGATAAAGTTATTTTAGTCCTTCTATGAAATTTAGTACCACTGGGTAGTGCGCTTTCAGTTTAAATAAAAAAAAGATTGTCCAAATATTATGCATCTTGATTTTGCTAAGAAACTGTGTTGAAACACTTTAAATGAAATTTAAAGTTAATTAACTATATTCACAATATTGTCAACTGTTAGAACTATTAAGGGAAGGGCGGTAACTTGCAGCTATTTTAGTAGTGTACAGACCACATAAATTGTATCGTATAAACAGTGTTACCTCCTTTTCCAAGTTGTAAGTTGGTAATATTGTGAGTATCGCTATAGCTAATAAAATTGATATCAAGTGTCATTTTGAAGCCGTTTATTACAGTTACTAAACCAAGATAACGTATTGAAAATTAAATTTACCTACAATCCACTCTTGCATGGACTATTTTGTAGAGTAAGCAAATTGCCACGACACCGATTAAAGGCGTGAATTTTACGATCGGCCCTTTGTCGGTGAAATTTTCATGATTAACTAGTTTCTGGAGTCATTGATATTGATTGTCACTTGTTAATCGAGACATTTAAAAGACTTCCTTTTTATACGCCCACATGAATATGTGGTCATATTATTGTCGTCGCCCCTGTCCGTCGGTCCGTCCGTCAACATTTCTTGTGAGCACTATAGAGACTACAGTTTTCATCTGATATTGATAAAACTTGGTGTGATGCTTTAGATTAATAAGATCTCGATCAAGTTCGAATTTGACATATTTTCCATGAACGGTTTTTGAGATATTGCCCTTGACTTTGTTAAAATGCGTCAAAATTTGTTAAAAATAGTTCGTGAGCAGGATTGACGCTACAGTTTTCAACCGATTCTGATGAAACTTGGTGTGATCATTGGAATTGATAAGATCTCGGACAAGTTCTAACTTGACGCATTTTTGATGAACGGTTTTTGAGTTATTGCCCTTGACTTTGTTAAAACACGTCGAAATTTTCAAAAAAAAATAGTTGTAGAAGGCCTAACATCATAAAAATTACCTCGGTGGCATCAATTGCCCTTAGTTTTGACGAGCTTTAACCTTTCCTTTGCTTTAATTTCGTTTTGTAACAAGGTTTTATCTTGTGTCAAACGGAACTTAATTATGTTGATGCATGAACAGTGGTAGACAATTTTATGTTTCACGACATCTATTTGATGGTTTGCCTTGTTAATACATTTTTTATAGTATACATTGTTCATTTTAAATCATATTGACTGATAACTGAGGCGTTCAAACTTTGTTTTTTCACTATTAGTGTTCTTGTATAAACTTCAGTGCACTCGAACATGTTCCGAGCTATTAAGAACGTAACACGAACAGCGCACAACAAAAAAACTCCACATCCACTTCCGGTTCCGCTTACCTCGAGTTTCGATTTCAGTTTCTGAATTTGTTAGACCTTCCTGCATCTGTAGGGCGTTTTCCCAGATAAAGAGCTGCCAAACCTGCACATTCACAAATCAGAATAAGAGTTTACGTCTACTGAAGCAGATAAGAACTATTTTCAGCATGACATCTGCGAAAAAAGCCTTTGATCGTTTACCAAACACTGTCGTTCCGTCGAATTATCAGATCAGACTGCATCCGAATTTGACAGCTTTTACATTTGACGGAACAGAAGAAATTTCAGTTGAGGTATGTTCATGCAGCCATGATCTTTCATGACTTTCCAGTATAAAAGACCATACACATTATCAACAAAAGCTCAAGTCTATATGTAGATCTAATAATAATCTTATTAGTGTTGAAACGGTTAGTGAATTTTACGAACAGGGTAATCGTTGGCAATAACCGTTTGTTACCCGGTTAATCCCGGTTAATTACTTAAGATTATAAAAGTAGTCAAAAACGCATTAACTCACCGTTAACTAGAGTAAGTGTGAATGAGTACCCAGGAACAATTTTGGCTAGTTCCCTGCGAATTGTTGGTACCCATTGAAGCGTCTGCTTAAATGTAAGATTACGAGCGGGCCTGACAAGAGTTCAGACGGACTGACGCCATTGTCAGTCATTGCTACAGTCTCTAACTGATCAAAGGTTTTTATACCAGTTGGGGGGTCATTGAAGTCGCTGCGAATCAGTGTACTGGTTCCACAACTGGTATAAAACTATTGTCTCAATGAATCCGTACTCATGAATATTAATAAGCTTGAAGCTGATTGACAGGCAAGAAGAAACAAAAAGGCCAATTAGAGGAGAGTTAATATAAAGTAATACGCTATTTATGATTGTTTTATTCTAAGCAACTCGTATTCGATTGAAATAATAAAACTAATAGCAAAACTTGCTCTGTTTATACTTCTTATAAAATTGACGGTTAACCGATTATCTCAAATCAAATCAAAAATATCCATCAGAGGCTGGAATAGAGGCAGATATTTCAGACTGAGTTTGAATTTGAGGTACTCCACCTAATCATAAGTGATTAGGCCTATTTGTCATCATCAAATTTCTAGATCTAAATCATAGTGGCATATTTATTTTAAAAAGGAAATTTTAAAATTGATAGGCATTCTGTTTTTAGAATAAGATGCTATTTTATTTTGTTATTTAGGTGAAAAATGCAACAGACACAATTATTGTCAATTCTGCTGATATTGCTGTTCAAGAAGTGACATTCAGCGTTAAAGGTATCATTTTTTAAGATTAATTTTATTAAAGTACATGAACCCATGCGGGTAGTGCTTGTAAGCTATAAGAGGTGTATTATAAATAGTTCGGTTGTTAATTTCCTATCTGTGTTCTGAATTTTTTTTTAGGAAAAACAGACAAAGTTACTGGAAATGTTAGTTTTGATGTTGATAATGAAAAAGCTTCATTCAAATTTCCTGTTCCATTACCAGTAAGTATTTATTCAGTAATTACTCAGTACTGTCAGAGTTTGTAGGATAGATTGTTTTGGTCCTTGCCATTAGCTGACTATATTGCTTTATTAGTAGTAGTGCTATATTTGATGTTCAAGAGACTCTCAATTTCCAGAATTTTCTCAAGGGTCATTTATTTATTTATTTATTAATATAAGTGAAATTTATTAATAAGATAATATATTTGAATCCTGTCTCACATTTTTCACTGGTAAAATAAAGTTATATAAAGTTTATAAGCCAGGTTGTATCACATATTTAATTTTTTATTTAGATTGGAGAAGGAGTATTGAGTATTAAGTTTACTGGAGAACTGAATGATAAAATGAAAGGTTTCTACAGAAGTTCCTATACATCACCAGATGGACAAGAAACACATGCTGCTGTTACACAATTTGAGGTTGCTGCTGTCACTATGTTTTGTGTTAGTTAGAATAAACTGTAGTCATTTGAGACATAGTATAGAATCAAAATGTTGGAAATGTATATTTTGTTGGTTGTTTTATCACATACCTTTGAATATTTTGATTACTTTTAATAATTAATTGTGGAACTAAAAAAGTTAAATCAGCTATAAGAAATAAGTCTATAATACAAAATCTTTCATGTCTCAAAAGTACTTAAAATGTGAATCATCTATTTCCCCTCTGTGGGTGAACCAATTGCATCTTTTCATAGCAGGAAACACAACTAGCTTTTTACTTGGTTTGCAAAACACTTTCAAATTTTGTCTGTGAGATCTTGCCTTGAATGTTTCCATCTTAAGAGCATTGTGTGCTTTAAACTTTCCTTGCAAATTTCACTATTATCTTCTCATTTCTCTTTTAATTGTAGGCAACTGATGCTAGAAGAGCTTTCCCATGTTGGGATGAACCAGCTATCAAGGCCACATTTGATATCACATTGGTGGTACCTAAAGATAAAATAGCTTTATCCAATATGGTAAGTTAAGTTTTCAATGTTATTTTTACATGTTTTTAGATTACAAGGCTCTGTTTGATGTCCTTTGTTTGATGCATGTGTTGATCATGGCAGTTTTCCAACTAAATTTAATGGTAGTTTGACGATGCACGCAGGAGGTTGAAATCAAAAATTATAAATTGTTTTATGTTGTCTCGTTTGAACATTGATTTTTAATGGCTGCCGTAACTTAAAAATCAATGGATGGATCTGGACTTTTTCAGTTATATTTTATTTTATTGTAGCCAATCATACATGGAAATCCATTAAAAGATAACGCAGATCTAATAGAAGTAAAATATGCTACCACACCTATCATGTCGACCTATTTACTAGCATTTATTGTGGGAGATTATGATTTTGTGGAAGGCAAGGATAAAGATGGAGTATTAGTTAGAGTTTACACACCAGTTGGAAAGAAGGAACAAGGACAGTTTGCTTTAGAGGTTAGATTTGTTCTAACAGATCTCTTTCTTCTCGTGTTTGAGCTGGAAAACTAATTTATGTTCTGACTGAACAAGGGATCTCTTTCTTTCATGAACAGATATATTTTACTAACCTTACTCATAAAATTTTTATTTTTCTTGAAAGAATACAGGACCCAGACAAAAATGATCTATAAGTGATATATGAGAGCTTGACCTTGTGTTTTTTCTTACAAAATTAATCAATGATGGCAAATCATCTTTCAGGTTGCTGTAAAGACATTACCATTCTACAAAAACTATTTTGGCATTGCTTATCCTCTTCCTAAAATAGACCTAATAGCTATTGCTGACTTTTCTGCAGGTGAGATGTCTCTCTTTTGATATACAAGCTCAAAAACAGGTTTCTTTGTTTCTTTGCTTATTGTACTTTCCACAATGATAGTCTGTCCATTATATTGTATCATGGTTTTTTACACTTAAAAATTTGAATCCTAAACCCTTCAAATTATTCACTGTAAAAATTGTGAATTTCGGGGTGTTGAATAATAGACTAATATTCATATTATGAGTTAAATTAAGGCTCAATCAATCTGTCCCTTTGAGACTCAATTTTCCCTGAAATCATCAGTGCAGTAGTGCTTGAAACTGAAATTGAATTAAAATAAAAGACCTTTAAGATGTCGTTTTATTTAAGGTGCCATGGAGAATTGGGGTTTAGTGACTTACAGAGAAACAGCTTTATTAGTTGACCCCAAAAATACATCAGCTCATGTAAGACAATGGGTAGCTCTAGTGGTTGGACATGAATTAGCTCATCAGTGGTTTGGTAATCTTGTTACTATGGTAATTATTTTGTTCTTAAGTAAAGGATTTAAATCACAAATATTTTATGAAATGTTGATGTATATTGCCGTCGCCCCTGTCCCCGTCCATCGGTCCACATTTGTTGTATGCACGATAGAGGCTACAGTTTTTATCTGATCTTGATGAAACTTGGTATGCATGTATATATTGATGGGAACTCGATTAAGTTTGAGAGTTATTGCCCTTGGCTTAGTAAAAACACGTTAAATTTGGCTTGTATGCACGATAAAGTCTGCAATTTTTATCCGATCTTGATGAAACTTAGTATTCATGTATATATTGATGAGATCTTGGTCAAGTTTGAAATTGGTAATAATCGGACAAATGGTTTTAGAGTTATTACCCTTGACTTAGTTAAAACGCGTTAAATTTGGCTTGTATGCACGATAAAGACTTCAGTTTTTATCTGATCTTGATGAAACTTAATATATATGTATATATTGATGAGATTTCGGTCAAGTTTGAAGTTGATAGTAATTGGATGAACGATTTCAGGGTTATTGCCCTTGATTTAGTAAAAAATTTGACTTGTAGTCTTAAAACAGGATGCAGTTTTTATCTGATCTCAATGAAACTTGGTATGCACAAGATCTCAGTCAAGTTGAATTGGTAACAAATGGGTGAACAGTTTTGGAGTTATTGCTCTTGAATTAATTCAATGCATCTGATTTGGATTGTAGGACTGATAAAGACTATGAGATCTCAGTAAAGCTTGAAATTAGTAAAAATCGATTGGTTTCACATATTAAACCACTACAGACTTAGTTATCATTTCTGACAGCTGGTAGTGGGCATATGTTACCTTGCCTGGCAAGCTATCTTTCTTATTATTAGAACCTTTCTTGATTGATCTTATGTGAAGATCACTTCTGGGTATGCATTCACGATCTATGATTTTGATCCTTTTCTTACATGACAACTGTAGCATGCCTTGGTACTTCTGCTCCTGTTATAGAAATCAAGTTGACAGATTAGTTCTTGATTTCTCCAATCTTATTTAGAAGTTGTGATAATTCAAAATTATATTTTCAGGAATGGTGGACTCATCTGTGGTTAAATGAGGGTTTTGCATCTTGGATTGAGTATTTGTGTGTAGATCATTGTTTCCCAGAATATGATATATGGACACAATTTGTAAATCAAGACATGGGACGAGCTCTAGAGCTGGATGCTTTGCATAATAGTCATCCTATTGAGGTGGGTTTACATAATAGTCATCCTATTGAGGTGGGTTTAAATAATAGTCATCCTATTGAGGTAGGTTTACATAATAATCATCCTATTCAGATGGGTTTAAATAATAGTCATCCTATTGAGGTAGGTTTACATAATAATCATCCTATTGAGGTAGGTTTACATAATAGTCATCCTATTGAGGTAGGTTTACATAATAGTCATCCTATTGAGGTGGGTTTAAATAATAGTCATCCTATTGAGATGGGTTTACATGATAAGCATCCTATTTAGATGGGTTTACATATTAATCATCCTTTTGAGATGGGTTTACATATTAATCATCCTATTGAGGTGGGTGCATCATAATTATCATATTGAGGTGGGTTTACATAATAGTCATCCTATTGAGGTGGGTTAAAATAATAGTCATCCTATTGAGATGGGTTTACATCATAATTATCATATTGAGGTGGGTTTACATAATAATCATCCTATTCAGATGGGTTTAAATAATAGTCATCCTATTGAGGTAGGTTTACATAATAATCATCCTATTGAGGTGGGTTTAAATAATAGTCATCCTATTGAGGTGGGTTTACATAATAATCATCCTATTGAGGTGGGTTTAAATAATAGTCATCCTATTGAGGTGGGTTTACATCATAATTATCATATTGAGGTGGGTTTACCTAATAGTCATCCTATTGAGGTGGGTTTAAATAATAGTCATCCTATTGAGATGGGTTTACATAATAATCATCCTATTGAGATGGGTTTACATAATAATCATCCTATTGAGATGGGTTTACATAATAATCATCCTATTGAGATGGGTTTACATAATAGTCATCCTATTGAGATGGGTTTACATAATAATCATCCTATTGAGGTGGGATTACATCATAATTATCATATTGAGGTGGGTTTACATAATAATTATCTTAGTGAGGTGGGTTTACATAGCAGTCCTCCTATTTGAGATAGGTTTACATAATAGTCATCCTATTGAGATGGGTTTACATAATAATCATCCTATTGGGGCTTGTTGTACAATCTAAGCATTTAATTATAGGTACCTGTTGGTCACCCATCAGAAGTAGATGAGATATTTGATGCTATTTCCTATAGTAAAGGTGCCTCAGTAATTAGAATGCTACATGATTATATTGGAGATGAGGTTTGTAGTGTATTGTGTATATATAAAATTATGGTTTAATGTATTGACTGCAATGGAACCAACTAACCAGTTTCTTTTATGTAATAAAGATATAATGGTGAATGTTACCTTTGTCAACTGTTAAATTTGTCTAATAATTGAGTTCAGGATCGACTGCTTGAAAGAAGGCATAGTGATATGGATATGTGAAATATTATATTAATTATCTATTACCCATTATTGGTCCTTTTGAAACTATATACTTCTGGTTTTTTTTAGCATTTCCGAAAAGGAATGAATCATTACCTGACAAAACATGCCTATAAAAATACCTTCACTGAAGATTTATGGGCATCTCTAGAAGAAGCTAGTCAGAAACCAGTAGGTGAGATGATGACTACCTGGACCAAACAAATGGGTTTCCCAGTTATTAAGGTACTTCTTAGAAATTTTTTACAGAGTTTTATCTCATTGAAGATCTGTAATAACGATAAACATTCTCAATTTCTTTGGTTTAAATACTGACTGAAGATAAATATGGTAACACTTGCAAACCATTTGAATCTATTGATTTGTGAAGTTTAAAGCAGTTTTGTGGAAGAAATTTTCCTCATCAATGATGTTGATTTTTTTCCCAAAATTGTTTATGTTGATTACATAAATTTGAAAAGTTTCAATTTGACGAACATTTTTTAAGTTATTGCCCTCATTGACTTAAAACATGGAAAATATGTTCATGAGCTCAATATATCTGCAATTTTCATTCTATTTGAAACTTTGTATGATCATTGGAATTGAGAAGGTCTTGATTAAGGAGTTGATTACTTTTCTGAGTATTGAATAGAATTTTGTTTAATCATTATTATTCTTGTTGCTCTCTTGAGTTTGAAAATTTAACAAAGCTGCTGAGTGGAAGAATGTTTACCTTGTCTGGAAAGCTATCTTTGTATTTATATAACAGGTAGAAGAGAAACAAGAAGGAACAATTAGAACTGTGACTATATCTCAGTCTAAATTCTGTGCTGATGGTATTCTACCTAAAGGTAAATTTATCCACAGCCATGTTAATGGATTATTAATAATTTTTGTGGGTTTTTAAACCACATATTATAATGAATATGCTGAAATTGCATTGAAATAGAAGTTTTTTTGTTAAAAGTTGCCAAGCATCATATTCAAACTATTTTCTACTGTCAGATTGCAACTGAGATCACATTGTTTAATTGGGTGGTAATTTTGAACTATAATTATAATATTATAGGTGATAAGTCACTGTGGATGGTACCAGTTAGTATTTGTACCTCAAATAGTCCAGCTAAACCAGTACAAACTGTTGTTCTTAAAGAAGCCAGTTCCACAATAACCCTGAATAACATAAAACCAGAAGATTGGATCAAGGTAAAAATATAATCACCATCTTTTTCTTATTCCCAATGTAGCTGGGGTTGCTCAGTCCAGAGATCATCCTGGTATAGGTAAAGACAAGGCATTGGAATTTTCAACTTGGTTTCAATCTGTCAATTATGTAGATCGTAGGGGTTGGCATGGAAAAGAATAATTAATCAAGGTTCTGGTAGACCAACATGAAAATGTGAAACATCATGTTTCAGGTCCTGTTTTAATATTTCTAATGTACAATATATAATGATTGTAGGTTAACAGTGGTAGTGTAGGTGTTTATAGGGTACAGTATTCATCAGAAGCTTTAGATAGACTTATACCAGCTATTAAAGATAAAACATTACCACCAAGAGATAGACTAGGACTGGAGTCTGATTTATTTGCTTTAGTATGTATTTCAAAGTTTGAAATCTTGCCTGCAACCCTTGTCTAAGAATATGAATCACTTCTAATTTGCCATACAGTTGACTTGCAAAAGTTCAACCAACAAATGATCATCTAATTTCATCTCTATTTATCAACAACCTGTTGATACATCCTGATTTTAATAGCAATATCTGTTATTGTCTTGGCCTATTTTATTGTAATTTTGTTAGCTTAAGTAGGTAAAGATCCATTAATTTCATACCTGTTTTCTATTATCATTGGTATATGTTTGATACTTTTGTAGGCGCGAGCTGGTATGATATCAACAGTAGATGTATTAAAGGTAGCTCAAGCCTATATTAATGAAGATAACTATACAGTTTGGAGTGATTTATCTACAAATCTATCATCTATAGCTATATTACTACAATACACTGACAGTTATCCACAATTCCAAACTTTCATCAGAGATCTTTTCAGACCTATCTCACAAAAAGTTGGTTGGGATACAAAACAAAATGAAAGTAAGTCACTTCTTCTGTTTTCTGCAATAGAGAAGGGTACTGACAAATTCCTGGGCTAATTCCAATATTAAGGTGTCAATTGAAATTTTACATAATCTTTTATCTTAGTGATTACAGGACTCACATGGTGCAGATGTCTTTATTGTTTTGAATTAAAAATTGAACTAGTGAAAACCCATCTTCTGTAAACTAGTGTTTCCAAGATTATTAATGAATTTAACTTATTATAGATATATTAAACCTTTGATAAAATCAAGATATTTCTGACATTAAATTACAGGTCCATTGATAGCTATGTTACGAGATTTAGCCATAACTAAAATGGGTAGAAATGGAGATAAAGAAATACTAAAAGAAGCTACCAAAAGATTTGAAGATCATGTTAATGGGACCAAAGTTTTACCAGCTGACCTAAGAAAACCAGTAAGAGACCTTATGGACTGGAATAGCTGCTTGAATCCATACTTTCTCATTGGACCTTGATATTTCTTGTCTGACTATAATAAAGATTTTGGCAGTCTGAAAGTAGACCCATGGCCAAAAAATTTCTAGGTTAAGGACTGAGCTTTAACTTGTCCTCTATTATTACAACAAATTACAGATGTAAAAAATAATATAACTGGTACAATGTCAATGTAATTAAGATTTAACAGACTATGTAATTACTTATTACAGGTGTATATAACAGTCTTATCTAGTGCTAATGAAGAAACGTTTAACAAAATGCTTCAGGTAAAGTACACTATGATTGTCCTACTTTCAAGAACTCGACTAGATTAATTGGCTGTGGTCTATATATTATATATAGGTATATGATTAATTGGCTGTGGTCTATATATTATATATAGGTATATGATTAATTGGCTGTGGTCTATATATTATATATAGGTATATGATTAATTGGCTGTGGTCTATATATTATATATAGGTATATGATTAATTGGCTGTGGGCTATATATTATATATAGGTATATGATTAATTGGCTGTGGTCTGTATGTTATGTATAGGTATATGATTAATTGGCTGTGGTCTGTATGTTATATATAGGTATATGATTAATTGGCTGTGGTCTATATATTATATATAGGTATATGATTAATTGGCTGTGGTCTATATATTATATATAGGTATATGATTAATTGGCTGTGGGCTATATATTATATATAGGTATATGATTAATTGGCTGTGGTCTGTATGTTATGTATAGGTATATGATTAATTGGCTGTGGTCTGTATGTTATATATAGGTATATGATTAATTGGCTGTGGTCTATATATTATATATAGGTATATGATTAATTGGCTGTGGTCTATATATTATATATAGGTATATGATTAATTGGCTGTGGTCTATATATTATATATAGGTATATGATTAATTGACTGTGGTCTATATATTATATATAGGTATATGATTAATTGGCTGTGGTCTATATATTATATATAGGTATACGATTAATTGACTGTGGTCTATATATTATATTTAGGTATATGAAGAAGCTGATATGCAAGAAGAGAAAGTAAGAATCAGTAGATCATTGGGTTCTGTTAGAGATGAAGAATTGATCAAGAAGGTTCTGGATTTCTCTTTATCTGTAAGTAGTTATGCTTTTTGTTCTCTAAAGGCTAAAACTTGTGTTTACCGACCAAATTGAAGAACATAAACGCGGTAATGGCATGTCACATAATAAATTTAAGCGACATAATTTGTGGATACATATGATTAATGATGTAGAATTAAAGATGGATGCTGCAAAATTATCCATCAGCTTGAGTAATTTCAGATTTGTAATTAGTAATTGGTATTTAACCTGCTGATCTTCGATGGATTAGAAAAAATAATGCACATTTTTTTTATTTACTTACTGATAATTATTTCATTTTGCCATGTCAAATAATTTTTCAGGAAAAAGTCCGATCTCAAGATTCAGTATTTGTACTGGCCAGCGTGACAGGCACTGTCAGGGGCAGACAATTAGCATGGAAGTTTGTTCAAGATAAATGGAGTGAATTACATGATAGATATAAAGGTGGTTTCTTATTGTCTAGACTTGTGAAGGTAAGCATGTAATTCTATTACCCCTGCGGTCCGTCAGTTCACATTTGGCTCGTGCTTACTCTACAGGCTACAATCCTTATGTTTTCTTTTGATTTTTATTTTGTGGTTGAATGAAGATGTTCGATTTTCGTAATAATTTGATAATTTTTCACCAAAACTAAGTGTATTCACTCTATTAGCTATATAGTGCAACTTTTGCTCACTCTTCAAGCAACAATTCTTTTTGGATTCTTTTGATTTTTATATGCCCATATAGTATGGAAGCCTATTGACATTGATTCACACTTGGCTCGTGCTCACTCTATAGACTATAAACAATGTTTTGTACTTACAATCAAAGCTGCTGGTGGGCATATATCACCTTGCTTCGCAAAACTATCCTATTATATTAGGAAAGAAATAAAATGAATTTGATCCTAATTAAAATAAAAGTAAAAATGTTTAAGGAGAAGGCAGTACAGATTTATAATGAAGACAACTTTTTAAGTATCATATTTTATTTTCATTTTTAGTCAACGACAGAAAATTTTGTTACAGAAGAAGATGCAAAAAATGTTGAAGTGAGTTGGAGCTTTTTTCTTTGAAAAAACAATATTTCATATAATTATGTTTACTTCTGGTCGCTGTCGGATAAAAAACTGTCCTTTTTTAGATAGATTGCAAAGTCCCGCTTCTGTGCCACTAGTGGCTCTTGTTTTTACAGTTTTCATGAAGATATTAGAGAATTCACGTGATGACATACTTTCCTTATAAATTAAAAAATTTTTTTATTTAATATCATCTTTTTTTTTTCAGGAATTTTTTAAAGCCAATCCAGCCCCAGCAGCAGAAAGAACAGTGCAACAGTCATGTGAAAATGTTAGACTGAATGCAAGATGTTTAGAAAGAGATGGGAAAGCTCTAGAAAACTGGCTGAAATCGAAGAAATAAACTGTTTTAATAGACAAAATGATTTAAGCTCTTCTCTCCAAATATTATAAAGTGCTACCAATGTATCAATATACTATGATCAATTTATTATTATTTGAATCATTTGTTAAATTTTCACTTTTTTTTTTATTTTAAATTCCACATGTTTCCTTTATCAAAGTCATTTACTTGTGACACGGAACCTCTTGTAGTATTTATATAACATTCCACACTACTGAATGAAACAGTCAGCTTTTCACTTTTTGAACCTCATCAATTGTATCGTACAATTTGGAAATACATTTGTTTTTATCACCATGAGTTAAAAGCGTTAAACAACTTTATCTAGACAAGGAGTTTTAAGTGATACTATCTCTTTCTTTTGAATTAAAAACATGTTATATGTGGTTTAATATTAAACGGGCTAAAGGTCAAAGTATGGTTTTGTTATTTGTTGTGTAGTTTGCTTACTATATATTGGTACTTTGCTTATATGTTATACTTCGAAATTTCAATACATGAATTTATTTTTGTTAAATTGATCAGCACAATTCATGAATAACTTTTCTTTATGACTAGTCATTTATTTGTGTTATTTGTCCTCTTTATCATGCCTAATTTATTTCTCCTATCTGTTAAAGGAAGTATAAAATTCTATAACATCCATCAAGTGGGTTTGCAATACAAAAAAATAAAGAAAGTACAAAGTGAATAAAGTTTTGCAGGATATATGCTTCAAATGGAGATGGATGATAAAACTAAATTTTCTGTCAATAATCATCTGTTTACTGATATATTTCAAAGGATTACTTTAATTATGTCATGATTGGTATACATTGAAATACCAAGATCTAACAAAAGAAACTTCTTCTACTGTCTACTTCATCAACATTGATGGGTTTATAGCATTGCTTAAAAGCTTTTTGAAACAGAGCCCATGTTTTCAAACCCTTCAAGACATGTTCTGTACATATTACATGCAGCAAAAAAAAAATTGCAGTTCGTTTCTTGCTGTAGATTTATTTGGCAAAGTTAGGAAGAAGATAACTTTTGTGGGCTTATTAATAGGCTAGTCTAAATAAGGACCCACTTATCCACTAAAACAACAATGGTACTGTATTTCAAGAGATTTCAAGGAGGTCCATTGCATTGGATATTTTTGTGGTTGATACACAGATAAAAGTAAAGCTAAATCTCTCAGTAAGGAACCTTGAATCCTTCAAAATCTTTAATGATGAGTTACCAAAAGAATTGGCTGCGATATATACACATAAAAACAGGGTTTAAAACTTGGTAACCTGAGAAAAAATAAAAATCAGGGATGGAATTCAGCTATTCGTTTCATTCGTTTCAACCTATCACGCTGTTAGGCATATTGGAGGGTATTGCTAGGTCCTGTCAAATAAGAATGATGTGTTGGACTTGCACCTTTAAACATATATTTTATGCCCAAAAGAGTGGTCCATAATCATTACCCAGAATTCCTGTATGCAAATGAAATATAGAACAACAATGGCGGAAGTGTCAACATCGTTTCGCTACCTTTGGAAAATACTCCTATTATTAAACTGTTTAGCTATATCTTGGACATTTTCTGAAGGTGAGACATATTTTAATTGTAATTCTTCTGTAATTTAAAATCGTGTAGGTCGTTTCGAAAGTCTGACTTTATTGAAGAAAGTACAAAAAGGTGTAATGTTTGAAGCATACCTGTCAGCTCTGGTTTTACTACATGACTTGCCTTTTTATTCAGGTTACTATGTCATACTATAACAGGCTCACCTGTCCATGTAACCAATAGATTGGTTCTTTGTCTTTAATGGCATTCTATTAGTGCAAACAAAAAGACAAAAACAAAAAGACAATAGTGGTTATTATTTACAAATGTGGCAGGTAGATTTAGGGTGACTTACAATTTAGATTTGAAAGAAATTATCCACCAGAAATCAGAATTGATTGACAAATAGACAAGGAATCATAATGTTAGTTATATAACAGGATTTTTCTCTTTGAAAAATTAGTAGTTATATAAAAAATCTTTTGAAGAGAAGAGGGGAATATAAAAATTGTCTGGTACTTGGAAGAATAAAGTCAATCTTTCTTTTTTTTTGCTTTTAAAAAAAAGAATAGGCCCAGGCCTATATATTATTTCATTATAAATTCATTCAGCTGCCACTTTTTTACTCATAAAAAGTAAAATGCCATCTAATAATTTCTTAGTTGACATAGGTCATAAATTATTACTGAAAATGTCATTCATTTAGAATCACAACTATGTACCTGTAGGCTAAAAATAGCAAATAGTAGTTAGGCTCTCAATAAATGGCTGAAAGCTAAATAGATTCAAGCCAAGATGTTGTCATTAAAGTGGTCTACTTTCTTACCACAATGTTTACAGAATCCCTTTTTTCCAATCATATTTTTTATTATATAATTGAATTATTCTAACGGTACTGACTGAGCCTTGGTTGATAAAAATGCCAACCAGTGAAGAATAATTTAAATACTTACCGGTATATTATGATTTATGGTTGAAAATTATCAGTGGGCAATGTCAGCCATTTTTAAAGGACATTTCTGAGAAGTGTATTTTTTTCAAATGAAAATCATTATGATATATGTACCGGTACCTAAAGACATTCTTAAACAAAATAACAACATGCAATTGAAGATTTAATTTTGTAAATATTTGTTTAACGAGGGAAAAAAATCTGAGCTGGCATGAAATACCCAGCATTAATCTGACTCATCAGCTGACAGCTTAAACTACTTACAGTTAAAAAAATATATTGTAAAGACTTTTCTGCTTATCAAATCTTGAGATACCAGTCCAGAATCAACGATATTTAAGAATTTTGACTGGTCTGTTCCAAACTATGCAGATAGATAAGATACTTCTAATCCTTTCTAAATGTATTTTGTCTGAGTAGAATTTATGGTCCATTGAAATGAGAGCCTTTGAAAATGTACCTTATTAATGGTAAACCAAGGCCATTATCTGACTGAATATTGTTTGCTTAAAGAATCAATAGTTTCCACAGATTTTTGTCTTAGTTCCAGTATCTTGGATATTTTTCTTCGTTTAACTGCAATCTTAGACTGTCTTGCTATTTTAAAAATGGTGTTATTCCAATTCATAATAAATTCTAGAAAATAAAATATATAATGCAAAACTACAGATTGTTATTAATTCACAACTCTTCCAACAGACTTTACCAGAAGTAATAATTGTGCTTCTCACAGTATTTTTTAATTGTGAAGACACAAAGTATCCTGTTTGTTTTCCTGCTTTCAGATGGTATTATTATTACTTCTTCAAATCAATTTGGTTGAATCTATAATCCATGATATTAGCTAGACCAATTTTTGCTATATTGTTTCGTAGTTAGTGGATGATAATTATTACCAACTCTAACACTTGGTTCAGCTACCTGCATGTTCAGAAACTAGTTAATTTAAAGATTGATAGGGTTCTTAATTTTAGCTGAATTATTAACTTCTAACTGAGAAAGCAATTGATATAATTTATAAGACAGTTGCCAGATGTCAACCACTTTTGGCGCTGGTACAAATAATTATGTGTTACAAATTCCTCAGAGAGATCGACCAAGAATTGACCACAGTAAATTACTACAAATACAAGATATTAGATTATCAAATATTCTAGCTGATTGGTTAGTGTATATAAAGCAACCTTATTAATAGGCTTATTTGTTACACTAACAATTGATAGTCATATTTATTTGTTATTTAACAAAAGAAATTTCAATGTTTTTTTATAAACTCAAATCCATTTAAAGGCCTTCATTAATATTTTAAATCAAATCACGTCAAAATCTGATTTACTTACAAAAATAAGGAGGTAGTATCTGTAGATTTCTATACGATATCCTTATTGATATTTATTCCTTAAGGAATATTGTTTTTTACATTTGACAGGAAAATTTTTTTGATAAGTTTACTACAGCTGTTGGCATTTTTATTGCAATTCAAATTTAGATAGGCCTATTTTTCTGAATGACACTCTTGAGGTTAGTATGTGCTCACATATCAAGAGACTTAAAGTAACAAAGCCAAATAATGACAATGGTGTTTCTTTTCAAGATTATCAGTGCATAAATTTTTATATAACATCTTTTTATATTTAATTGTCATTGTTTATGTAACTTGAATAGTAACATATACTGTAGTTAGAGCTGATATTAATTACTTGTTGCCTTTCGTATGTTTATGGGCAAAAATGGGCGTTTATAACATTATTAGGTAAATAGTTGCAAATAACTTTAAATGAAACTATCAAATTGGGGGGACCATTCAATGTAAGTGATTAATTTTTTGACAAAATGTAACAAAACAGATTTTTAACTTGTAAAAGATAATTATTCATAACAAATTCAATAGTTGCCTTCCATTGAAATTTGATTATCCATAATATTAGCACAATGCCTATTTTCCAGCTGTATTTTACCTCGGATAGTTTGTGATTTTTAAACCAACCCTTTTTGACAAAATGAAAATATAGCTCAAGGGATCCTCAGTTTTACGTTATCATGAGCTATTGTTTAATTCTATCATTACTATTTTTACAAAAGCAATCTATTAACATATTAATATTGTGAAACAAACTCATTTAATATTCTATCAAATTATACCTTTTTAATGAATAATGTTTCTATCTTAAAACTTAATTGAATTTTACATTCAATATCATGATTATAGTAAACAGTTATGCAAAATGTGTTATCTAAGGCAAGGTGGGCAAGAGCTTATTTTACCAATCCATTAATGTGCTTGTATATTGACTCATTTCTATTTTAAGGATCAATAGGTACCTTGAAATTATAAGTCTCACCTGTTTGCACACACAGATTTTTCTTGGTATCATTATCCTGCTTTTAAGATGGATGTTTCTTGTCTCAATTGTCACAAATTGGAAAAATATTCTGAAAGGTACAAAGAACTCTAGGAATGGTGAAAGAAAAAAATATATCAGAATTCTAGAAAGGAACTAGACCTTCAAATGTTGTCATACAATTAGCCTCTTCTTGTGGTAGATAATTTTCATAACCAAATTTCAGTGCAGAGAATGACTACTGTCAGCTGGAAAAAGTTTTGAAAGATTTAAACTCTTTTATTTAGAAATTCAAATTGACGGACATCTGATTTACTGAGTGAGGCTGCCTCAAAATGAATGGTGGTCTGAATAAAATATTGTGGAAGTAATTTTCGCCTTCACAATGTTAAACTAAGATTAGAATCTAGAATGCTTTGATTTTATAAATATTCTGACAATAATTTGATCATGACACAGCAAATCTCTTCTTGTTCAGAATATTTATAGTGTCCCTAAAGACATATTAATATTGTAATATTTATTATATAAGAGATTGTCTAACTCTAGCTGTGTATATTTTGAAATGTGATGTCAGGCATGTAAGTGACATTAGAAAATTACATTCAAGTCCCATTGGAAAATCAGACATTTAGTTTTAAAGTGTTTTGTCACAATAACAGATTAGATCAGATAGCTTTTTTTAGAAACATTGAAATATAACATGTTTTCTAAAATCAGACTTATATTATCTGCCATCAAGAAATCATCTTTTTTGTTGCTGGACTATTTTTTGACTGATGTGTGAAAACACTGATTTTATTAAGGGATAAGATCCTCAGTAACTGACACCATATATTTCAAAGATAAAAACATGGTCT